CCCAGATCTCTGATCACTTCACTTAGAATGTATTTATGAAACTCCTGCCTTCTGTTGTGTGTTCTGCGTTTGGATGCTCTGAATCCTATACAGAGGTTAAAAAAGTACATTTGGGCCCCACCTCACCGCAGGAAAGGAACGTACGACGTGTGCTGTGCAGCAGCGTCAGGGGGCCCGGCTGCGGCAGTGCAGACACGCAGGCTAACAGTTCAATCCCGCCCCGGGTATTTCCCTCCCTCCCCACTGCCCGACACCAGGGCATCCTTCCCCTGCCTGGCCACGGTCCACAGAGGCCGCCCCTCCTTCCCTGGGCGCACAGCTTCCCCATATCCATCCGAGTGCCCTTCCCTCTCCCCGCCCGGGCCACTGAGTCCTGTCCGTGCCAACCTCCACCTCTCTCCGATCTGTTGGCGTCCCTTTTCTGCCGCCACCTCCCAGTCCGGGCCCCTCTCTCCTCTTACCTGCTCAGTCGCCAGCAGCCACTGCCTGCCACCCCTGCTTCTGTCTCGTGAGGGCTTTCCCTGGTGGGCGTGCCTAAGGAGGCGCACATGATCGGGCCCTCCTCTGCCTCAGCCTCCTCGTCGTTCGTCCCTCTCACCCCTCCACTCCCTGGGTGCCAGCCACCCTTGCTGCTCTCCTAGCACCCGGGATGCACCATGCTGTTTCCTGCTGCAGGGCCTCTGCCCGGAAGTACTGTGCCTGCGGTGTCCTTGTTTTTCTTCTTCTCTTCCTTCCAGGTGTGGCTTCCTCTGCCCTTCAGGTCTTCACCTAAATGTCACTGTTTCAGACAGGACTCCCGAGATACACATACCTCCACTGCTTCAGATCTAAATTCTCTGCATTTTCTCTGCATCCTGTATTTCCCTCAGTAGCTTCTATTACAGTTAATACTTATACAGTTAATACTTATGTATCTGTGGTTCCTTATTTTGAGTGTCTCTTTATCTACGGACTATACAGTCTAGTTCATAGCTCTCACACCCCGGCATCTACTCCTGTGCCTGTCACGTGCGTCTGCTGCATGAGTATTTATCAGATGGGTGAGTTGAGGTGGTAATGAGCTTGGCAGGGCCGAGTTAGCTAAAAGGGTGACCCTTGTCATGGGCTGTGCCCAGTGGTCAGAGCTGAGAATCCTTTGCCTCAGTGGGATACTTAGTAGTTTTCTTTTGTTAGCAAGGTATGAAGTGACATCTTCTGGACTTCCATATTCTGCAGAGTTACAAGCTGTGAAGTACATGAGTTACACTTCACTTACTAAAGCTTGCCCGCACCCTTCTGGGGATAGATTTCACGTTGCTGTTGCAGGAACAGCTCGTCTCTGGCACGAGTGGTGCGTGGTCTGGCTGTTGGCCGTCAGACTTAAGAGCACCAAGAACACTGGGTTCTCAGCAGAAGTCTGTAGGAAACCCTGGAATTGTCCTTTCTGTTCCCCTAGCTCCAATACTGTTGGCCCTGGTGGCAGGAGAAGCTGCTGGCATCATGGAAAACATAAGTGATGATGTGATCGTGGGCCGATGCCTGGCCATTCTCAAAGGGATCTTCGGCAGCAGCGCAGTGCCCCAGGTGAGTGCGCGGGCGGGGCAGGCGGCCGGGGCCGGGCTGGAGCGGGGCTGACCAGTCCTCCCAAGCTGCAGCCCAGTGCTGGTCAGGCCGTCCTCGGCCAGAACGGAGAGGGTGTGTGGATTTGCGTGAGTGCTGATGTCGTTTGGAGTCCGTGCCGTGAGCGTGGGATTCAGAAAGTCATTTGCTGCATTTGTCTGCTGGCCCGTCGTCTCTGCTGTTGGAATCCTACACCATCCCGCCCCACCTGTCCGTCATCCAAGAGGCCAGGCTCCTTCAGGGAAGTCTTAAGAATCTCTTGAGACTTTTTTCTATTCTTTAGGCCTACTGACACACAAACCCTTACGATTCCTTTGAGAAGAGGCACCTTAATGCTTTGTGTGAACTTGTGGAAGAGAATTTAAGTCCTGGGTAGATCTGTGGGTTCACGGGCAAGGGTACAACGTGGAGGCTTCCTTGCGTTCTGAAGGCATTTTGTCACCTGTTTTAAAGCAGCAGCATTCACCACTTGGCTGACTCCCATGTCCGTCCCCTCCTCAGCTCTCTCACTGTGTCCCTACTCGTGACAGCCTTTCCACCTTTCGGAGATTCCTGGTTTGCCCTTGGTGTCTAGTGGTAACTTCTGCTCGTGGGTTTCTCTTTAGCCCAAGGAAACGGTGGTGTCTCGCTGGCGTGCTGACCCCTGGGCCCGGGGCTCCTACTCCTACGTGGCCGCAGGGTCGTCTGGAAATGACTATGATTTAATGGCTCAGCCGATCACTCCCGGCCCCTCCATTCCCGGCGCCCCACAGGTGAGAAGCAGACTGTACATGGGCTTACTTGGGAGGAGGCCAGCGTTCCAGGATCTCAGGGTGAAAAGTGCCTCTGATGTGTTCAGATTTACTCCTGTCCCTGGAGCCTTTCAGATAACCCGGAGCAGAGGAAGAGGGAGGGACAGTGTCACTGCATCCGATTTCTCACGTTTTGGCTTTATAAATCTAAGCAGTCCGTGTTAAAGTGGAAGACTACAGAGTATAAACTAATTCATTACTTTTTGCTTATTCAGATCTTGGTTCTTATAAAACAAAACCAAACATTTTTAACCCCACCCCCCACCATTTTGTAAAGGCTGATAGGACTGTTGCGGGTCTCAAACAGTAGGGGCCTCCGGGGCGTGCCCCTGAGAGGTGACCTTGGGCCCCTGTCTAAAGGATGCCTGGCCCAGCTCCCAAGAGTAGTGCGTGTTCCTCAGGACCCTGTGGCAGGTAAGGCCGGTCTGCGCTGGGAGGCAGGTGCTTCCCAAGTAGGAACACGTGCTGTGTTCGCCACGGTTCCGAGGGTGAGGACCCGCCCCCGCCCCTGCCCAGCAGGTGCCGCATGAAGCAGAGGAAGCTTGAGAACTGGGTATCCCAGAGCTAAACTTGCCAGTAAGAACAGAGACAGTGAAGCATCGCTCCAGAACTAAGGCTGGGCTAAGCTCCACCTTCCCTTCCCTACTTCCGTCAGTTCTGAGAAAAGGGCTGTCGATGGGGGAGACCCTTTTTGGTGAAAAGACGGGAAAGGGCAGGGGGTGGGGGAGTCCACTTCAAAGGCCAACAGACAGGAGAGTAAAGGTGTATTTGTAACCTGCTGATTTTCTCTTAATATTTTTCTCTGAAATAGCCAATTCCAAGACTTTTCTTTGCTGGAGAACATACAATCCGTAACTACCCGGCCACAGTCCACGGCGCTCTGCTGAGCGGGCTTCGGGAAGCAGGAAGGATCGCAGACCAGTTCCTGGGGGCCATGTACACGCTGCCCCGCCAGGCCACGCCCGGGGTCCCCGCGCAGCAGTCACCGAGCATCTGAGACCAGTGGATCGACGAAGAAGTCGTCGACGTGTGTGTCTTTGGCCGTGTAAGCAAAGTTCTTCTAGCAATACTAGGTTCCTGGAAAACCCGCCCTGGCCCCCGGGCTCCCGACCAGCCCATGAAGCCCCTGCCGGCCGGGCGGCCGGGCAGAGGTCTCTCTGCCGTTGGCGGCGGAGGCTGCCGGCCTTGAGTGACCTAGCGCCCGAGGGGGCGGCGCTCACCCGTCCGTGTGGCCGTGCGTGCTCCGTAAAGACTGAGGCAGACGAGCACTATGAGAGAACACCTTAGTCTCTTGGTGTGTGATAGTTTTTTTTAAAAATATTTTGAGAATAAACTTCTTATAAAATTAGTCTTATCTTTTTTATTCCTGTGCCCTTATGGTTAGAGCCGTATACAAGACAGCAGTGCTGCTGCTTCAGAGATGCAAATTTTACCCATGTCCACGCGAGGAGGAAGTCTACAGAGGGGGAAAGGGTTTGGTCAGGTCGGATGACAGGGGCCGGGGCCCTGTAGAAGCAGCGGGCTTCCTCGTCTGGGGGCTGCACTCCCCCTGGGATTGGGGGTGACCGTGCGCCAGAGTGTGAAGCGGCAGGTCAAGTATGTGGACGTTGGGCAGCTTCGAATTCTCAAGGTAAAACAACATGAGGTTTGCATGGACCTCTGGCGGAACGTTCTGGGTTTCTTCTCCAGATCTCCTCCACGGGCGTGGGCCTCAGCTTCTGGTGGCGTCTGTATCCTTGGCCCGTGGCCCCTTCCTGCCGTCCGAAAAGCACATCACTCCGGGCTCTGCTTCCCGATGTCACCGCCTGGCGGTCCTTAGATCCTTCTTCTGTCTCTCTCTCTCTCTCATGGGGATGCTTGTGATTTCCTTTCAGACCCACCCAAGTCTCCCCCGTCTCAAAGTCCTCTATCACACCTGCAGAGTCCCTTCTGCCACGGAAGGTAAAAACTTGTAGGGGACGGTGTGCCTGCTGCTTCTTCCCAAGGGCTCTGAACAGACTAACTGCGTGTGTCACTTGCTTCTGGAAATCGGATTTTCCTTGTATCAGCCAGTCCTTCCCTAAGTGAAGTTTTGCATACATTGGTGGTCCGACTGGAAAGGGCTTTCCCCCAGGCCGGAAACGACAGCGGCGGGGGAACCCTGCACACCAGGACTAGGGCAGTGGTAGGACTGAGGTACCGGCAAGAACAGCACGTGGTGGAAAGCAGATGGGCTTCGGAGCCCAGCTCTGCCATCAATACTGTTAGCTGGGGCCAGGGAAAGGGGTGTTTGATCAATGTTTGGTCAAGTGGTAAGTGCAGTGCTTTTAAGAGTTTGTTTAAACGCAACAGGTGGCATAGGCAGCTTGAGAGACCATTGTTTTGTATGTGACAACACAGCCTAAAAATAAAATGTACCAATAAAATAGATACTATATGATTCTAACTCCAATTCAGCTTGGCTTCTAGGCGTGTCCTTGACTAAGCCCCGGCTGTGTTTTCGGTCCTCACAGCACTAGTAGTTGGCTGAGAACATTCAAGTGAAATACACTCGCTGTACCGGTGCACAAGAAACAGTTGTATGCAGAGGTGGCGTCAACAAAAAATGGCATCACTGACTCACACACAGAGCACGTGGAAACTAGGGAGTTTTATTGGTTACATATTGTGCTGCAGAGCCAACAGACAGCATTAGAGCCAGAGGATACATGCAGACAGGCAGCTTCAACTATACACATGCACCCAAGGAGCCCTGAGTCACTGCTCATGGTTTCGCCCTGGTTTCCAGCAGCAGGGTTCCGGCCTCCTTGGTCCCATACCTGGAGCAGGAATGTAGAAGCTGCTGCGCCTGGACTCCAAGGGGCGGGGGTGAGACCCGAGCACCTGCCTGAGCAAGTAAGTGTGGAACAACAGATACTGACGCCCCTCGGCAAAAGGGGCCTATAATGTATTAACAGTTTTTGAGGGCTATTTCCCTAGCCCTCCCAATCTTTAAAATACAAAAAAATAGACTTTATTCTCTTAAAAATACATTCCATTCAGTACATGTTCTGAGCTGTGAAGCAGCAGGAAAATAGGGCCCCTTTCCTATGATCTTGGTTGTGAGGCTTTGAGAACCCTGTTCCCCACTCGGGGTATTCAAAAGATAATCCCTAAAAGCAGCTCTTTCAAAGCAGTCTCGTACAACCACGCCAACAAAGGCAGCTAGGGACTGCACCAGAGGCTGGGTCCCTACTCCTTTACTGGGAAGCGGTAGCACTTGGCACTCACCCACTATGATGTAAAGAACTAAAACTGCCCCAGGATGACAAGTCCAAGATCAATATAGACCCTCTCACACCCCATGAGAGGGGGTTGATTTATGTGCAAGTTTGCCTGTGGCCAAGGTCGGAGTCCGTGGCCCCACTGCAAATCCCTTTAACCCACATTGTAACTGTTTCATTGCCACTCAAAAGCAAAAACAGCCATGGTTTCCTCTCGCCTACCACCCCTGCAGCCCTCCCCAGTTTCTCTATCAGGATGGTAAGGGACCCGTGAAGGACTAGCTCCTGGCATTTAGCCAGCTCTCCTTTCTCCAACCAAGCAGCCCTGGAGTTGCCAGGCTCCCGGCCCCACCAGGAACCCTTGCACAACCATCCACCTGCCCGCAAAACTTAGGAGCGGTTGAGCCAAGCTGCAGAATAGGCTTGTCATGAAAGTGGGTTTATTGGCTGGGAGAAGGAATATTTGGCTTTATTAGACAACTGTTTAACTACCAGGTCTCCCCTCGTTCTGAATGTTTCCTCCAGGACCCTGATGGTGAGGCCCGGGTCCAGACGGTCTCACTGAGGTTGCTTTTCAGACACGTGCCTCCCTACTTGGGAACGTGAGAGCCAGCCTTGCCAGTCCCTGGAAGCCCAGGTGACTGAGCGTCCAGCCTTCACAGGCTATTACAAATGGTATTCTCTGCAATGCCGAGGACATGTTTTTAATGTTTTATAGAGGTTCTAGGAAGTGTGCAGATGAAACAATATTTATCCTGAAATAACTATTACAATCAAACCCTATTGCACTCAGATTTTAAGATGGCAGTCCCAGCAAGAGGGCACCACAATGGTCCCTCTTCCACAGAGCATTATGGGAAGTGGCAGATGTTGATGCTGCTGAAATGTGGAAAGATCCAGACTTTGGCACCAGGAGCTACAGCACCAGAATCCAGGGCCCCAATGCCCAAAGAGGAGAATCATCGGCCAGCTCTTCGAAGGCATGGCTCGGCACCCTTCGGTTCCCACCAGTGGAGACGAGCCACAGACTTCATGATGCTCCCAGCTGACCTCCACAGGGGTCGGTTTCCTCTGGACTGGCAGGGCTGCCAACCAGTGGACAATGGCAGGGAGGCTAAGGGAGAGGCTGCAGCCTTGAACAAGCTAGTGTCTGGCCAGTGACCCAGAAGAAGCAGAAGAGGTTTTGAAAACAGCATCTGAAGTTGAACGTCTGAGGCAGCAATGTGAAGGAAAGGCAAGCCACAGGACAACACCCTTAGATTGGCAAAACTCCAGAGAACGGAAACGAGCAAAACATCCCTGTCCGAGAAAGTAAGGGAGGCAAATCCCCCGGCCCCCAGGACCGCCAGGTCTGGTGCAGACGGGGGCGGGGTACACACTGGTTCCCACGCTGAGTAGAGGCGGAGGAGTGACTCGAGAAGCACGGGAACAGGAGGCACACCCACTTGTGTTACGTAAGTGCAAGCCAGGAGATGCCGTGTGGCAGTGGGCAAGGCGCTGGTGCCAGAAAGGGCCACAGAGACCATTTAATCTGACCCTTCCATTTTACAGACTGGAAAAATGAGGCCAAAGGCAGCTTCTCTGAACTCAAACTCATGACATAAAAAGGGCCCAGAAAAGCAGTCAAGGGCAGCAAGGACACATTCCCCAAGTCTGTTCTGATGGCACCTTCCAATGAGAATCACCACCTCCCCCTCCCCGCAGTGGGATGATGGAAACAAGAATCTTAGGCTGCCAGATTCAGGCCCCCCAGGAACCAGCCACTTCAAAGCACTCACTTCACAGCCAGGGAAACCACGGCGAAGCACAGCGCCGTGAAGGCAACCCGGCTTTCCTGACTCCTGCGCCAACAATGCTCACTGTGAAGGGGGGTCCCTTCTTCGAATCGAGAGAATGCTACAGGAAAAGCAGTGTCAAGATTGTAAGTTCTTTTTAACTTCCCCATGTGAATGGTATTAACTAATCAATTTTTATTGGCTTCCTGAAAACTTTGCTACGTTTTGGAATTGTATACACCTGGGGCCCCTGATGGGCACGTGTCACCTTTCCTCCGTGAGGTCATGGTCTGCAGAAATCGGGGGCCCACTTACTCGGGAACTCGTCAGCCTGGTAAAGTGCGCTCCCCCCTCCACGGGGGGCGGAGGAGGAGGAACAAAGCCCATGCCTCTCACGGAACTATTGCTTTGTGGAGTGGGGGAAGGGGAAGCGCTTCTTCCTGTCCACTTTCCCCTTTGCTGGGCGCTTCCTAGAAGGCAGAGTGTGCTGGGTCAGGCCCAGTTCAGTCTGGGGATATTCCGAAGGTGGAAACACAGTCAGCGCGGAGTCTCCAGCCACAGGAGAGGAGCAGGCAATGCCAGCAGCATTATTGGTGCCCCAGGAAGGAGACGCGTGAGGTCTGTGCATTTCCAGGTGCCTTTGGGAGGTGAGCTGAGAGCTGGGGCTGGGGGAGAGGTGATGTCATTCCAACAGGTGGGTGGGTACCCATGTACTCTGCCCCCAGAAAACAGTGGTTAGCAAGGGGGCCCGGTCAGAGAAGTTTCCATGTGAAGTGTAGTCCCATAATCCTTTCGAGGCAGCACAAATGTCTTCAATAAGTCTGAGGGACTCCAAGGGGGCAAGAAATGGAAGCCCCCGGATGGAGCTGATGGCTGGTAAGTCTTAATGTAGGTACTTGGGCCCTAGGGCAGACAAGGAGCGAATTGGATGTGGTGAGGAGACTGAGAAATCAGAGTATTAACCACAAGGAAGGGGCTACAGTTGCATGGTGGGGATATAAGGAGTTTCTATCATTCCCTATTTGGGGGCCACAGTGGCCCCTTCTACCTGGGGGGACAGGGCAGGGACAAGGAGGTCTCATGCATCAATCAGGGAAGCCTGGGTGACTGTCCAGCTTGTAGTTTCTGATCCCCTCTGGCCAACCGGCAGGAATGACCTGAGCCACAGCCTGGCTCTCTGCCACAGTCTCCCAGCCAAGGCCTGGTGTCCTGCCTGGCTACTGGCCCGGGACCCCACCTTCACAGGAAGGGAAGGTGGGAGAGCTGAGAAGCAGGAGAGGAGACGACACGCCTCAGCCCGCCGGCTCAGTTGTCCTCAGCACAGGGCCTGGCTGGCCGTCTCCGCTCCTCGGCCTGTGCCTGCCCAGGCTCCGCTGGCCCCGGCTTCACGGGCAGGTCGGACCGCTCCAGGGAGTTGTGCAGTCGCCTGTGGACACCGTGTGTGCAGTCATCATCTTCCTCCTGCGCCAAGAAATGACAACAGTGAGCTGTGGAGGAAGACACAGTGAGTGACAAAGCTACCCTCGCTCCGCTCCCCCCAGGGCCCCTCCAGCCTGACGGGGAGGTGCTGCACAGGCAGACCACAGCATGATGCAGAGATACGTTCTCCCCGAAGACAGGCCAATGTAACAATTCTTGCAAATCGGGGTAGACTACAAACTGCAAGCTGCCAGGAGCTCCTAGGGTAGACTGGGGGGCTCACAACTGAACAGAAGCCCTACAAAATACAGGGCTAGGGGCCGGGGCACCCCTGAATAGTGGCCAGCGGTGCTCCAGTTCCAAACACGCAGGCTGCACGCTGCTCGGGGTGGGAGCCACTCCCTCGGTGGGCGGACAGGACGCGTGCTGAGACGGGAGCGGGGCGGCTCTTGCCCACCTCCCGCCGAAAGCTCACGCACCTTCCCTCTTCCACACCGCACTGTGAGCACCACGCACCCTGTCACATTCGGACAGCCAGACTTCCGAGGACTAAACGTCCAGCTTTCTCTCCGCCGCTCCTCTACCCGACTTCTGCCTTTTTAGTAATCCTTTTTAGTAATGTTTCGCTTTGGTGCTCCCAAGCACATGCAGATCAAAGGACACAAGTGTGAGCGAGAGAAGCGGTGGGTACGAAGGACAGTGGATTTAGAGACAGAAACCCTGGATTCAAATCTTAGTTCTTCCGGTGATTCACTTGGGCATGACCTTCGGTTTCTACATCTAAAAAAGTGGGGATGACGCCCGCCCAGCGGGGCTGCTGGGGGGACCGAATGAGGTTAGCGGGCGGGGAGGTGCTTTGTCAGGGGGTCAGTACCTCGTAAAGACTTCAGGGCTTTTCAAGGGAGCACGCGGTCACCTGCCCTCACAGGCTCCACGTTCCCGGGGGCTTCCCCTCCAGACGCTGTTCTGCCAGTGTGACCCTCAACTGAGGAGGAGCTTCTGGGTTTGTCTGTGCTGTGCTGAGCGAACAGGAGCCAGCCCTGCCCTCAGACTGAGGGCATAACGGGCTCGGCGGGAGTCTGGGGCAAAGAGGTGCCCAGGCACAAAGTCTGTAACATAGGCCTTTGCGCCAGCAGCCGGCCAAGGATCCGCTGTCCGAATGGAAGCGGCCAGGAGCTCGTTTCCCAGGCTCCCGCCTCTGCTCCACAGACAGGGCCCTGGCGTCCTCCCGCATCCGAGCTCCGCAGCGGCCGCAGCTGCTCCCCTTGCTGCGGGTGCTGCTCTGTGGAGTCGGCGGGGGGCTCCCTCGGCTGCCCTGGCAAACCAAGGGCACAGAGGCCCCACCTCTCTCCTCTCCGTCCGGCCTTCAGACATGAAGACCAATTGGGAAAGGACTTTGGAAATTCATGCTCCTCTGTCAAACACCTTCCTCACGGTCCTTTATCCTTCAAGGGCAAGCCCACCTTATTGTCGACAGTCCAAGGAGCTCTACAGTGTTTCCCAGCCCCTCCATCTGCATAGTCCAAGCCCCACAGGCCAGAGCAGAGGCGGCGGAGGGGAAAAGGAGAGTGGGAAGGGGAGAGGGGGAGAGACGCGGGACTCACCGTGCCTGCCAGGTGGTTCCAGGCGGCGGCCGTGACAGCGTCTCCTACCCGATTCTGCCGAGTGAGCACCTCTGACACAGTGAGGCTGCTGTGGGTCCTTCTGGAAGAGAGCTCGGGGGCCTCCCCCGGGTTTCCTACCCTCCGAGTACCCTGCTCGCAAAGGTAGGACCTGGGCTGTTCAAGGTCGGAGTAGTCCGTGGAAGACCTCTGGGTGTAGGCATTGGCAGACGCCACATTTTTACCCATCTGAGTTGGGGGGTCTTCTAAGGAGTTCAGGTCTCGCCTGCTCTTCCAGGCGTTCCGCACGGTCACATGCCTGGCATCCGAAGGGCTCGCCTCCGACGGGGCGCTATGGCTTTTCCACCTGATTGTCTCCGCGGGGGGCGCATGGCTGTTCCTCTCCACGGGGTCCGATGGCTTGATTATAATGCTGCTGCGAGAGACCACCGTTTCCGTCCTGTTCTTCAGGGGCCCGTCGCCCACTCTTTCGGCTTCTGAGAACTGCAAGGTGATGTCGTGTTTGTGTATGGAGAGCTCGAAGGGGGAGCTGACGTGGTTGCCGACTGCCGCGAGCTCTGGCGGCCCGACCTGGATGTTGCTGGTGGCCGTGTGCCGCTCGCGCGGCGGGGCCTCACCAGGGGCAGCGCGGGGGCCATTGCTGCTGTCGGAGGGATAGATAGTAATGCTGCTTGTGACTTTGTTTGGCCCTGGCTTGGAGGGCAACTTCTGCTTCTCCAGCGCGGACTCCGCTCCGGATCCTCCCATGATTTTTTTCACATCTTTATCAACGATGACAGGTTTGATGATGGCTCTGGACCGCAAGGCCTCTCTGGGGCTGAAGGGCCTCTGGCTCTTCACCCCCGCACCGTTGGCCTCTGCGAACTCCGCGGGGTTGGTGGGGGCTCTGGCAGGCTTCGCAGGTTCATTTTCCGCCCCGACGTCTTTATCGTTCTCGAACAGGGAGGCTCTGGGGCCCCCTCGGGGTCTGGCCTTTTCTCGCGAGCTGGGCTGTCTGTGCTCTGGCTCCGGGGTGATGGTTGTGTTCACCAGTTTGGCGGTAACCAGAGACATCATGTCCACGTCGTCATCTGAGTCTGGCTTCTCTCTGCCACCAGATCTGATGACTCGACACCTCAGGGCTTCGTGCTGACTGCTGTCTTCCATCACAACGGCTACGGGGCGATCGGCTTCTTTATTTGGGGCTGAGAGGCCCTGAAGGATGTTCTCCTGGCTTCTGGAGCTGTAAGGGTGCTTGGACAGAAGTGGTGCCTTGGCACCCGGGGAGCCGGTGTCAGCCTCTGGGCCGTTGGCAGCCTTTCTGCCCTTCGAGAGCCCTTCCGAGGAAGATCTTCGAGACGAGGCCAGAGCTCCGCCGGTCTTAGAGCTGCCACAGTCTGCGGCCTGAGTGACGTGACTTCCGTTGCTGGGCGCCTGCCCTCTCCTGCCGAACGGGGCCTCGGCGGGGGCGTCGCAGGCCCTGTCCGCTCTACCCAGCACGTCATTGGGGACAGACCCATGGGTGGTGTCGCTGAATGTCCGTGTTGTCTTCTCCACTTTGCCCTTCAGCCCGCTCTCGGTACCTGGCTTGGGAGCGCCCTTCCAAACTTTGTTGTGCTCCTGAGCAGCGGGGGGGTAGCGGCTGAGCACGGACGGCTGCTCCCTGGACTTCTTCCCTTCGCCCTGCGAGGAGCCAGATGCAAACCGATCTTCGGTCCTCTTTGTCTCCTGCGCCCCACCATCCGTCCCTGTCCCCGTGTTGGCAGCTTTGGCTGCCCTCCTACCGGGGAAGCCGGGGGACGGAACCTGCCTGTTGCTCAGAGAATAGTTCTCATTGTTAAGAGCAAACTCCCTGTTCCGGTGCCTTTCCCGCTTATGCTGCGGGGACAGCTCCCGAGACGTGTGCTTGGACACGGGCGCCTCACTCCCGTGGCCTCTCAGCTTAGTCCTCTCGTGCCTGCCCTTGCTGGGCAGGAAAGCGTCCTCCCCTCCCACCTCCCCATTCTCTAACTCCTTCTGCTTCTTGATCTGTAGCTTTATCTCCTCCAGCTGGCTGGCCAAGAGTTTGTTTTTATTTTGCTCGCTTAAGTAATTATCCTGAAGGTCATTGTTCTTGGCCCTCATCTTCTTCAGCTCTTCTTCCAAAGACTCAAAGTGTTTGAGTTGTGTCTTAAGTTTCTCAATCTCTTGGTTAAGGTCTTTGACTTTGTTGTCTTCCTGATTTCGGTTCTTTTCGTTTTCAGACTTGTTTCTCGTTTCATTCTCTGCCTGCTTCAGGTAGTCCAGAGTGCCCTTCCGTCTTGACTCCTTGGACGGCAGTGAGGAGGGGACGCCGTCCTCGATCCGCAGGTCCTTCCTTTCCAGAAGGTCAGAAGCGTTCCTCGTGTAATCTCGGTTCATCTTTTTGTTCTGCTCCAGTTTTTGAGTGAGTTCTTTTATAATTTTCTCGTTTTCTTTCTCCTTTTCACTTAGGTATTTCCTCTCGCTCACGAAGCTCAGCGTCAGCGATTTCAGCCTCTCCAGCTCGGACGCCAGCCCCTGCTCCGTCCTGTCCAGCCGGTCCTCGGACGTCTCCAGCTCCCTCACTTTGGCTCGGAGCGCTTCCAGCTCCGAGGAGATCTTCTTCGTCAGGTTCCTCTCCTCGTTCAGGCTCAGGCAGAGCTGCGTGCAGTCGTTCTTACTCCTGCTAAAGGCCTCCTCGAGCTTCTCCAGCTCGGCCATCCGCTTCTGAAGCCGCTCAATCTCCGATTTCAGGTCCCGCGTGAGGCTTTCCTCCTCTTCAAGTTTCTCCTTCATCAGCCGACACAAGTCCTCAGCTCTCTTAATTTCCTCGTCCTTGCCTTCGATTCTCAGCACCCGCTGCCGCAGCACTTCGATCTCGGCCAGCATGCTGGAGTTGCTGCCTTCCGCCTGGATCACCTTGTCCTGGAGGTCCAGGAGCTCATCCTCCGCTTTCTGGAGGTTTTTTGTGGCTTCTTCCAATTCATCAAGGCGGCGGCTTAGACTCTGCAACTTAAAGCGCAGGTGGCGGCTGGAGGCAGTCTCCTTGTAGTTTGCAAACTCGGCCATGTCTACTGCCAGCCGGTGCGGGCTCCGAGAGGCATCCGGTTCCACTCGAGGGCGTGCGAGACGGTTACCTTCCCCTGGGCATCCACAGCCTTCTCTGGCAGCTGGAGACCATCATCACTCTGCAGAAGGGAAGCATAAAGCACGTCAGGCGGCAGATAAAAAGTCTGCACGTCACTCCCAGCTCCCGCAGGTAATTCTTGTGCCTGAAACACAGCAGAAATCTGAATAAACCTTCAGGATAAGACTGGTTCTTTATGGCTGATAATGAGCTGATATCTAGTTTCAGCCTAAGGAAGAATGCCACCAATGGTAGCATGGCAGAAAGACAGAGTGGGCTGTAAGACAGTCCTTACCATTTGCCACCTGCACAATCTCAGGAGAGTCATTAGCTTTTCTACACATCACTAAGCGAGCAGCCCCGGTTTTACTCAGTTGTAAAATAAGGATGCGATGCCTACCATCTCTCTCCCCAGTACTGTTCCGAGCTAATGCAGGGAAAGCGCTTGGTGGCGAAGCAGTAAACAATTCTAAGATTATTAAGAACTGTAGCTTCAGGAAAGAAGTAGAATAATGAAAAGAATCACCTTACGGACCTAGGAAGATAACAGGACCTGGGGTCTGTTAAGGCAGAAAGGGAGGACAGTGTGCCGAGAGATGTACAACCCTGGGCCTGCCGTCACTGCCGTTCCCAGGTCAAGCCCGCACCGCCTGGGTCGTCTGCGGTGACTCGGTCGCACTGGGGATCTAACGCAAAACGGTCTCCGCCTGGACGTGAGATGACGTGGACGTACACCATCCCTGGGGAACCTACCGGAGGTCAACAAAAAGAGTCCAGAAAGGGATTCCCTCCCAAGTTCATGCTACATAAAAGCCACACAGCCAAAGTCCCACTGAACTACAACACATGTAAGGAAGGACCACTCTTTTATGTGAACAACGGAGGTTTATACCAGTAAGAACTGAAGTAAGATAGTCTACAGGTCATAAATTGAGGATATTCCAATATTTAAAGTCATAAAACAAGAGACAATAACAAGATGCTATCAACAGAGAGTGGTCCTTTGAGATTTTAAGAGAGACTTGGAGATTTTAAGTCTCAGAAGGGATTTTAAAACTAACCAAATAAAATTGCTGGAAATGTAAAGAAAAATAGCAAATAGAGGCAAATGAAGGGTACAGTGGTTGAGATGTGAGGAAATTACAAAAGGCAGCACAGAAGTAAAGACTGAAGAAGTGAACGACAGGTGAACAGACAGAGAACACACGAAAGAGGCCCGATGAGTTCCACAAGTAGTCCAAAGGAGCGGGCCGAATGGGGGAGAGGCAGTATTTGAGGAGCTACTAGCTAAGAATTTTCAAGAGCTGATAAAAAACACAGAACGGAGCTTCATATTCAGAAAGCAAAGGTCTCAACCAAAATTAAATCTGAGCCCAGATGAGAACAAAAGGAAAATAAATACCTAAATGTTTATTATTAACAGACCCTCAATGAAAGAACTGTTTCTAGCCCTGGCTGGTATAGCTCAGTGGATTAAGCGCGGGCTGCAAACCAAAGTGTTGCAAGTTCGATTCCCAGCCAGGGTACATGCCTGGGTTGCAGGCCATAACCCCCACCGCACATTGATGTTTCTCTCTCTCTCTCTATCTCCCTCCCTTCCCTAAGAATAAATAAATAAAATCTTTTTTTTACAAAAAAAGAAAGAACTGTTTCTGAATGCGCTTCAGAATACAGAAACTGATCACCTGAGGAAAGTGGGAGACGGACGGAATGGTAAGCAAATAAACTAACCCAGACAAGCACTGACTCATGGGCGGGAAGGGCGGGATGAAATCAAGTGGGACTAAAGTACTGGACAGTAACAACACGTAAGTCAGGGAAATCAGAACTCAAGCAAAACCCTGTATTCTTTGAGAAGAGAGGATAGAGTTGTAACTAACTTCAAACCTTGTTAGGAATAGATATTAATCATATTCTGAGAAGGCATTAAGAAGCAATATATAAAGAACTATAATGTTAATTAATAATGAAAAAACCCCTCATTTTTAAATGGGCTAAGGACTTGAGTAGAAATTTCTCCAAAGATGATATTCAAATGGCAACAAACATGAAAAGACATTCAACAGTCACTACTCATTCAGGAAATGCAAATCAAAACCACAGAGATACCAGTTCACACCCACCAGGATGGCTACAATCAAAAAACAAAGACAAGTGTTGGCGAGGATGTGGAGAAACTAGAGCCCTTGTGCCCCGTTGGTGGGGAAATAAAACGGTGCAGCCACTGTAGGAAAGTGTGGCAGTCCCTCAAAAAGTTAGAAATAGAGTTACTATATGATCCAGCAATTCCACTCCGGGTATATAACAAAAACACGTGAAAGCAGGATCTCAAAGAGGTTTGCACACCTACGTTCACCGCATTATTCACAATAGTCCAAAGGTGTGAGCAACACAAGTGTCCATAAAGGGATGAATGGATACGCGAACTGTGAAATATACATACAATGAAACATTCAGTCTAAAAAGGAAGAAAATGCCGACACGTACCACAACATGGAGGAACCTTGCTGACACTGTGCTAAGTGAAGAATCCCAGGCACAAAAGACACATGCTGGGAGATTTCACTGACGTGCGGTGCCCAGAACAGTCAGACCCACAGAACGGAAAGTGGAACGGTGGTTGCTGGGGGCAGGGGGCCAGGGGGGTCTGTCATTTAATGGGCACAGAGTTCCACTTCTGCAAGATAAAAAATTGGTTGCATAATGTGAATATGTACTTAACATTATGGAACTGTACACTCAAAAAATTTTTAAGAGGATACATTTTTGTTATGCATTTTTTTACCACAATAAAAAATAACTTTACCAATTTAAGGCAGGAAAAAAGTAAAATGCCAAGACAGAGACGGTACAGCAGACCCCCAGTTTCTGGTCCGGCCCGTCAGCAGCTTCGAAGTCATCGCTTTGGCCACACAAGTCAAAGCGGAACAAATTGGAAAGCAACAACTCCCCTTAGGTCCACATGAGAACTGCGGTCACAGAGAAAACCACTTCACCCCAAAAGCAGGCAAGCGCGCACCGAAAACCACCATCTTCCCCAGCAGAAACCCCCAAGGGCACTAGCCCCGCCACAGGAAAACCTAAATTAAACGGCAGCTGACAGACTGCTGGAGGCTCCCGTGGAAAAGTGCGAGCTGAAACCTCCCAGCAGGGACCCCCGTCTCAGAGGGGATGCACCACACTTTGTGGGCTGTCCTTCCAGGAGCGGTGCCAGGCTCCCACAGTGAAGGTGACAGGAAACTCCTTACGTTTCTGTTCGCCCAAGTAGCTAGATAGCACTAAGGAAGGGAGCGAAAGAAATCAGACATTAGTACGCATAATGAACCAGGGAGCATAAGCCTGCTTCACTAAGAGGTTGCAGTGTTCACTGACACCCGGAAGATGACAGCATCACCCCGGCAAGGGGAGCAGCATGCCCTGGCCCCTGTGTGGGAGGAAGGACGGCTTTTCACTCTCCCCAAGGCACAGCAGGTCCATCTGCCCAGACTCTGGGGGCAAGGAATAAGAAACCAAGGGGAAAATTATTCTGCTGGGCACATGCCAGGTAGTGAAAAAGGACACGGGGACGGTACTTCTGAGGCATGCGCATTAGCAGCTACGATGGCAACCACAAGGGGGAGTCTCTAGCCTGGGAAAAGGGTCACATTAGTTAAGGGACACAGAACCCCAGAAGAGATCTAGGAAACAGGTTAAGGGGAAGACCCAATGCAGCCTGTGGAAGACTGGGAAGTTGGTTAGTTTGAAAGAGTGCCTGGTCCTTCCCAAGCCAGAGATAATAAAACCCAAACTTAAAGAGCTCGCTCTCTCTAGCTGGGTAACACACGCTCGCCCCATTCATCTGTGCATTTTCTCTCGGTAGCAGCCCTGTGGCCCTAGCGGCCGCCCGGGGCCGCAGCAGACGGCGTGTGCGTGGGCACACAGCCAGCCAGAGACAGCTGGGAACACGGACTAAGCTGGCGGGGTGGTGACAAAGACTGCACTGGACTGAACCAAGGGCACAGAACTTCTGGACCTTGGTCTTGTACTGGCTCGATGAAGACAAAACTGGACTTCTTCCAAGGCGGGACGGAAAGAGACGGAACCCAGGGGGCAGTTCTTCGATTCTGCTTCTCCAATAGAAACTCGCCATGCCACGACCTCCCATCCGTGGGCCCCTGGAATTCCTTTCTTGCGACTCAATTAAAGGACTTCCTTGCCAAACACTTCTAGGAGGGGGAGCCTAATCTATTGGTGTTTTATCAGAGCCTAACTGACGCGGGGGCTGGGACGCTTCCACTAGCCTTGGGGGGCGGGGGGGGATGCCCAGCTCCAGCCACTTTAGCTATCCTGAACCACCTGAAGGGCGGGGCGGGGCTGCGGGGAGTGGGGGCGGGTACAGGAGGACGATGCCTGGATAATCAAAAGCACTCGTGAAGTTCACAGACCAAGGGCACAGCTCACTGAAAGACTGAGACCCAACCCCAGGGCCGCGGAGCACACCCTTCACCCCACACTGCACCACCGCGTCACTGCAGACGCCTCTCTGCCTCCGTTCTTTTCACCCAGGACATCATGTCGGACGTTCAACAAAAAATTACAAGGCATGCTAAAAGAAAAAAAAAAAAAGTCTGAAGAAACAAACATCAGAACCAGACTCGCATACGGCACAGACGGTGGAATTATCAAGACAGGAATTTAAAGCGACTATGAAGAACAGGCAGAGCACTGCATTGGAAAAGTAGGTCACACCCGAGAACACACAGCTGATGTCAGTGGAGAAACGGAGATTCTAGGGAAGAATGAAAAGGAAATGTAAGAGATAAGCACTGTGACAGAAATGACCAATGCCTTTGTCTCATTACTGCACTAGACACAAGTGGGGTAAGAAGCTCTAAGCTTGCGGATATGTCAACAGAACCTTTGAAACCCGAAAAGCAAAGAGAAAAAGACTGAAAAAAAAAAAATGGAACAAACTATCCAAGAAGTGTGGGACAACTACAAAAGGTGTCACACGTAATGGGAATGCCAGATGAAAAAGAGAAGAAAATGTGAAACATTAATGACAGAACATTCCCAAATTAG